GGCAGGAATCACCACAGCGCCACACTTCCCAGAATTTAGCAAAGATTCATCGGCCAACAATGGCCACCAATATGCACTACAGCATCGGTACAGTCCAGGCGATATAAGTATTCTTCACAGACTCGGAAAGAATATAGGCAACATATTACATTACTTGCGTGCGTTCATCTCCGTTTTCTGTGATCGAATTCCACACGCAGCACCTGTACCAACAAATTCCAACCTGAAAAACATCCCCGTACCTGTGAAAACGGAGTGAAATGTAGACAAACGACGTCTAGCGTGGTGAAGTTATGAGATAATCTTACCAATCAAATCAGTAAATTGACACTCAATCCAATGGTAGTCCGAACTGCACCTTTGGGTTTGTTCAAGTTGCGACTATTGAGGTCGCAGAAGACGCGATTCAGTTCATCGACGGAGAAGAGCATACTCGAGTTCCCCTTCTGAATGATACTGCAGCTGTTTCCACGTGTGTAAAACACGACGCACCCTACAAAAACGGATAGCATAAAAACGTGGATAATACAACCGTCAATAAGTAGCTGTGGAAAGACTTCGGGAAGAATGGTAATTGTGATCTCGCGTCAGAAATATGCAGACTTATACAGTTAAGGCACAAAAGACATAACAACGACCCGCAAATCGAAGTGCATTCTTACCTGAGAACAGAGCAGGGTAGCAGCAAAGCCCAATTTCAAATGCAGTGTTCTTCGAATATCACTCGAAGCCTATTAGGTGCAGCATATGAAGAAATAAAATTTCGCCTACTTAAAGGTCCGGACCGTCATTAGCACCAACTGAAGCCAAAAAACTTACGATTCCTTCTTTTACTTTAACAACAACACCAATGTGACAAAAGGCACCAAAAGCGACAAGAAAAATAATGAGGAGTAGCCAATCAGCTTACACAAAACGAGTTAAGTAAAACAAAATACAAAAATAAAAAACGGAGAACAAAACTGAGTTAAAGTTACAGTATAAAAATACTTTTTTGCAATGATTTAAACGACGGTAATTATCATTTCTGAATAAAAGACGGTAACTGGATACTAGAGAATGTACTTTTCAAAGTAGGTAAATAAGACCATCCATGCCGGCTTCATACGTCTGAATGGCAAATTTCGCAAAGAAGTCTGCTTCCAAAGATTTGAGATTGTCAAATGTTTAAATACGTAATAAAATGGAAAAATTATAGGAATTTGCGGCAACTGAAGAAAAACAAACTAAATGATAAGTGTACTTAAACGGATTGGAGCCCCCAAAAAAATTCGCTCAACATGAAATTGATGTGTTCATTGCGAGTAGATGACATAAGAGGCAAAAAATACCATAGCACAAAAACAAATATGTAGGGACTCCTTGACAAAAATCGAAGCCATCCGAAGGTGAGATTACATAAAAATGGGATTCTCCGACAGGGAGGGGACTCCATGGAAGAAAACGAGGCCAGATCAAGGTCAGATTACGTCATAAAGGCAGTCAGTAAGGTTCCTTTAGTCTTGTCAAAACTTGAAAAGAGCCCTAGTTTAAGGTATATCTTTCAGCTGACGTATGATATCGCAGTGTCACCCCAGTCCTCTTTTAAGCCTATTGTACATATTTTACACAGGTGTAATTTCTTCACTTGTCACAGGAAAGTGTTTACAACCAACCTGATCTCTACTTCTGGGTGATATACCTTTGCTAAGAATAGTGGAAAAATTGAAGTTTTCTTACTTTTGTGGGTGGATGAGGTTATATCCGCCACGAAATTGGTCTACACTGCTTGTTTTGTATCAAAAATCTGTATTTAAATGAAGGCACATCTAAACAAACTAGTTCCAACTTGCCGGTTAATTTGCAAATGCTGAAACACATTAATTGCTTGTCTAACTCTCGGTTTCGGTAACGAACCGCTTGATGGCTCCGCTATTGCAAATCCACTGGGTGACCTGGCCATTGGGAGATGCCACTAACTCTTGGTTTTGCCGATACGCAGTTTGCAGGTAGCACGGAATCTCAGGTACAACAGAATTGACAAGATGTATTGTTGGCGGCAAAATCCAGTGTCTGCTCGCTTGCATTAAAATGTAATGATCACCTTTCACCTTTCCGGGAGTGACCCTTGAGATAACAGCTGCGCTGCGATTGTCGACACAGATGACTGATCATTATGGAGCTCCCAGGAAAATGTCTAATAAAGGTAAGGTGAGGTAGTGACTGGATATTTTGTTTATCTATACAGTTTCCTCTGTACTTGGGTGTTGTCCCCTCTTCGCGCCGTGTACTCACAGATAGGGAAAGCCTGGCGGCCGCGGGAAGTGATTAAGTGACCTGGTCTCTGGACCCAGCCAGGAGTCCCCAAGTGCCGTTTTACGGCGTCGCTGAGTATTCCGTCCAAGTACTGTGTCCCCTTTCGTCTTATGACAAGTCTCCACCGTTTATCAACAAATCATATAGCCCAAAATAACACTAAATACAGGAGCAGCATAGACATCAATTGATGCTCAAGATGGGCGCAGGGTCCTCAATCCCTGTGAGTTTAGCCAACACTTTGATAGGAGAGACGAACTTCAGGCCCTGCTATTTCTTTCATTACTCGCCTTTATCATCAGATGTACCTGAGAAGCCGTTTGCTACTTGTAGCTAAGTAGAGCTCTTTTCCTTTCTAGTTCTCCACTGTGCGTCGGACTATTCAAATGCGAATACACTTTGCTAAACTGACAAGTTGAGTAGAAAATTCTGACTCAACAATCTTGTAGCAACCCGTTGTTTTAACAAGAGGTGGCAGTTTTTCAAGGCCAACCATTAGTTGATGTTGTCAGGGCAAAGTGGCATCCACTTTGTCAATCCTCGGCTTCTAAGAACATTTTCTTTTGCCAGGTTTATGTCAGGAAGGAAACTGGTGAGGCTGCTTGACTGCGCCTATTTTCATCTGTTTCGTCGTGAGCAAGCGGTCAGAGGTCTGGCTAAAATGAATTGGAATTGTGTGTTTCTTAAATTGTTGATCTACCCAGGCATTGGTGTGGCTTGTTTTCTCACTTAAACATTTCCTAACCCTAGTGTGGAAGTTCAATTCAGCCAGTAGGAGTGCAGTGGAGGCGCATTCATTCACATAATCGGTGTCTCTTGTGGCAGGTCAAAATACCAAAGTGATTGCAAGAAGTGAGGGGAAATGGTTTTTACCAGCTTATCCAATTAATCGCATTTAGTGTCGCCATGGATTCTATACCAGCAGATTTGGATTGTAATTATGAATGCTTACTTGTTGTGGCCTTTATTACCTTTGCAAAGGGGCACATACGTTATGTAATTGCCACCTTTATTGCCTTATTAAAGTTCTATTTTCTATCTACTTTGTCTCACAAATGATTGGTTACTCCCAAACACGGCAATAATTATTTGGGAAGAAGTAGTCTTGGAGGAAAATGAGGGGTGATGTTTGTCAGGTTGATGGTACTGCTAATTGTTGGACCTTCTGGAAGAAATTGATAGGGAAGTATTCTGTCCTCCCTCCAACGCAAACAAGGTAAGTATGTTCCTAGGCAGATAGTAGTGCCAAGAGTTTATTTAAATCCTTCTTAGGAATTTTTGTTCAAGGTCCTTTACAATAAAAGTGCGGAGCTGGTTCTGATATGGTTAGCCGCACACTCTTCCCGTCGTCATGACATTTAAGTTGCCAGTGGTGGTTGTTAACCTCTTCCAGGCATCGAAATAACTGTTACTTCATTATAGTTGATAACGGTCTGTTTTATTTACTGCAAATAACTTTTGGTAGCTATACCGTGTGACCCCCCACTGGGGAAATTCGCTTTTCTAATGCAAATAAAATATTACCACCCCCGGATAAACAATCATCCTACTTCAGCAGAAGTATTGCTCGAAAAGTTGAGTTGATTGTATCCATCCATCCACACTCGCAAGTGTCAGTCTTTTCAACTTTTGTTTAGCATTCTTTGCAATGACCCAAATTTCTGTGTCGTGTCTGGAATACAAGGTACCGTCCATATACCCATTGGATTTGATGAACAAAACAGCTGGATGACTAGATTGTGGACGGTGTGCCATAGTAGGAGGGAGGGATGTGGCGTTACCAAAGAGGACACAACTGTAGGTGTATGGGGATATGCATCCATTGGCAGTACATTTCAAGCACACCTCGTTAATTTATCTGGCAAATCCGAAGGGATTTGCTATGCTACCATGTCTGACAAGGTTTGGATATTAATCACGTGAATGCCAACATCTACTGTGACTGCAGTCATTCCCACCAAATTACTTACCACCCTCATGAACTGCGAGGGAAAATGTGGTGCAAGAAATGCTGCCAAATGGTTCCACCAGTGAGTCATACACATCTCATTACAGTCATTCTCTCGGCATTTTGGTCTTTTATTCTTCCACATACTTTACAAAACGGTTGCGCTATTCCGATGGGAGTGGTAGCTGACGGACACGTCCGAAGACAGAGACACAGTCAAACCGACAAAATTATATGTAACAGAAAATGACTCTTGCATTCAATCGCGCACCATTTGAATAAGACCATTGTTGGTCTGGTCTATTGGAATGTTCAAGGCATCTATCCAGGCATTCTACTCATTTGATTCACCCAGTGGCCACTCCCTACTTGTGAGGCATACAGTACCTCGTTTCAACAGCTTTGTACTTGCTTCGTGTCTGTGTCCGAGAGTGTGGTGCTCTACGATGGATGAAAGCTGTTCGTATGACCGCCTACTGGAGAAATTCACTTTTCGGACGAGCATACAATACGCCACCCTATTATACACATTTGTTCTCATTCTGCCGGAGTTATTGCCTAGAATGTCAAGTCGATTATATCCACCCACCCACAAACACAAGTGCAAGTGCCAGTCTTTTCAAGTTGTTAATTATGAAGTGGAAATTTTACGTTGAAGCTCGAATCCTGTCGAGTTTTTAACTTCGGAGTGCAACCGACGACGAAGTCTGCATGAGTGTTATATGATGTGTAGAGCGTATAATCAAGTGACTGCTGGTTAACTGCTGCTGCTGCTACACCAGTATATTAACATCTAACAGTTGACCAAATGCTTCTGCTTTACAAACTGAGGTTTAAAATCACTTCTATAGCCATGGATGTTACAGCTCTATCCATACCTTCCCCATTTGTACCTGAAAAAGGTGTTGCTGCACAGTTCGGTGACAAAAAAGTGATTCGTCAATAAAGAAGTTCCACTAAAACTCTCTTCCACATGGTTCCAAACTCGCACTCGTGGAGGCTTCCATGGCAATCATGTGTGGCATGGCATGCGAAGAGTGTGTTACAGTTGCTTGTGGTGGTGGTGGCTGAACAAAGAGTCGCCGACAGATGATGCGATTAAACAACTTCAATTTTTTGGTTTGTAGTGGCACATTCATGAGTAGATATACCAGGGAATGGAGGAACAATTCTCTACTTGTCGCTTAACATTCAAAAGGGAAACACTTGCTACTCACTATTGCCAAAAGTGAGTTTAGGCTCACAGATGAAAATCAGCTTTCCTCCGATGATGTGCAACGCATTTAACTGGTGACATTAACACACGTGTTTATGAGAGCTAGAGTGAGTCCTGTCGAGTGCCCAACAAACGTTAAATTAAACAGGCGACAATTGAAATGCCTTTGACATATGTGTCTGTGTTAGCCGATACACGAGCAGACAAGGCGACACGGCTGACTGGCTGGCTAAATGGCTGAATGGATGGTTTACTGCATAATAAGTACCGTCGAATTTCCAGGATGACTTCACGTTTGCCTGCAGCATGCCTAGCATTTGATTGATCTCATATCCAAAAGAATTAGCGGCACACTTCAAGCCCACCTCATTGATGTATTTGGCATATCCGTAGGGAACTGGTAAACTTCTATGTTCTACAATGTTTGGATATCAATCAAGTTAAAGCCATCACTTGGTAAACCACAGAGCCAATATCTACTATGACTGCAGCCATTCCACCAAATTGGTTACCATCCTCATTAACTGAGAGGGGAAATGTGGTACAAGGGAAGCTGCAAAGTGGATTCCAACCGCATGTCATACACTAGCACATGGCAATCATCCTCCTCCTATACTGGACTTTCGTTCTTCCACGTACTCTACAGGAAGACCCGCTGTTCCGATAGGAGTGGCGGCTGACTGACTCAGCCGCTGACAGAGACACAGTCAAACCGACAAAATTACATGGAATAGAAAACGACATTTGCATTCAATCGCGCACCATTTGAATAAGGCCATTGTTGGTAGCGTCTATCGGAATGTCCAAGTCATCCATTCGGACATTCTATCCACCTGATCCATTCACTGCCAACTCCACACCTCTGAGGCATACAGTACTTCGCTTCAACGGCTCTGTGCTCGGTTCGTGTCTACACTCGTGAGTATAGTGCGCTGTAAGGCACAAAACTGCTCTCCATCAGTTGTTCACTTGTCAAAGACCAAACCGCATTTGCAGTTACTATCTGGTTATTCAATACATCTTTGTTCATCTCGACCATGTGGAAGAAGCATTTCTTCTTCCAGGCCCATTGAGCCAGTCTGTCTAAATTTGACTGACCAATATGACACAAGACCATTTGCCTAATATAGTTATCAGAATTGGAAGACGGGAAGAGGGGAGATAGTCATTCATTCTTTCTCCTCAGCCGTCCTTCGCATTCCTCGGATACCGACTCCTTTAAGTGATTGCAATTGTTTGTTCATGCTTTTCATATATGAAGATCATATAAACATATACGAATAGGAGTTAGTATCTAGAAATCAAAAGAGAGGCAAAGATGGATGCGACAAGGCTCAGGTTTGATCGTCAAAATGTGTATCATGTTTTAGAAATGAAGCAGACACTGTTTCAGTGCCTGTTTATAATTATTTCCCATATATAGTCCATTTCTTAAAAACTGAACTTATTTTCGTTACTTATAAGTGATATTTTAAACTATTATTTTTCGGGATGTTTGTTAGACGGGAATCCGAACTAGGACGGATTTCATACAACATTGCGCAAAATATCCTCCCTCAATTCGGTACTGTTATACAAGTACTGGACAGCTGGTGGACAACTAACGCAAATAGTGGTAACACTTCTTGCGGTTAGTCAGTATGAAGCACTAAATGGGAGTTGTCTGATTGCATCAATTGATGGCGACTCTTTGTTCAGCCACCACCACACATTGCTGTCACACCCTCTCCACATGCTATGCTAAATATAAAGGTCAGGGAGGCCTCTACAAGCACATGCGTGGAACCACGTGAAAGTGAGTTTATCGGCAATATCGAAGGACTTGTTTTAAAGTGTTTCTGGACAAGACGTTGTTCTGCTACTGAGATTTACTACCACGCACTTTGGGATACATATTGAGAAGTTGTGGGTAGAGCATGGCAAAGGGCAGTGACAATAGGCTGCTTAGCAGCGGTTTGATTCGGACACAAGCCCTTTCTTAATGGTGCAATAAACCGGAGCCTTAGACCCCTCTCCTCGGCTACGCTACTAACAACTCTTCGCTTCACCACACGTCACTACCTCCGCGTGCCCGCCACCCTTTATACCAGTGGCCTACCACCCTGCACCCGCAACACCCCTACACCGCCTACACTAGAGCCTGCCGCTCACAGTGTTTCCGATGCACATCCCCCATCATCACTTCGGTGCAGCATATTGCATAATGCGCACTCTGCGGCGCAGAGCGCATTCGCCCTCGGGTGAACTCGATCCACCAACCTTTCGGTTAACAGCCGAACGCGCTAACCGATTGCCCCACGAAGGCTGCCGTGTCCGCATGCTACACTGCATTGTCATCCGCAAGCCTCCTCCTTTGTACACCTCTAACAAATCCTCAGCTCAGTCCCCAAAACCATCTCACTATCGCCATCACCTTCCCATCCCCAAGCCGAGCACACACTCATGGACGCGATTTGTAAATCAGACGCACTCGAACATTGTGTATACGGATCTGCCAATCGACATATGTTAGCATCTTGGTGCCAAGCAATAAGAAGTACGTGAACTCCCAATATGAGGTTCGGCATCGACATCTGCTGCCTAATGCATGCACATAAACTGCCACATAAATTTGACAGGTCTAGTAATTTCCCATCAAGCATGTGTACTCATCTTTAGTGAAAGCTGCCCGAGCACTTTATGATCAACTGCGTACTTGTTCCCTCGTCTTTTTCATTTGTGCATGCCGTCAGATGCCTCTCTTTCTAGACGATGAATTCACGTGTCTATGTTGCTCCCAAATATCCACATATCGTTTGTATTTAAATAGTCTTTCAAAAGCTTGCAACTTTAAAGGGGATGTTAAACAGTAAATGAGATAATTTATTTCCTTTAAATCTTGTCGTCTTGATACCATCTTTTACCGTGTATTTAATTTCCGGCAGGAAAATAATTTGACAGGTGGCACTTCCGCTTTGCAACACGACACCTCGTTCTCTATGCCCTTTTGCCCAATGGCAGTAAATCTTCCGCTGTGCTGGTTTAAGTCATCACGACGGTGCGGAAGACCTGAGATGCCATAAGAGTACGTAAGTGGAATTATTCGTGAGGAGTTCAAATTTACTTATGGATTATATGGCTAGCACTTAATATATTTATTCTCTGAAATAAAATGATTAGTGGAAGAAAGCATCTAAGCACCGAAAGCTTAATTACTGTCATCATTTGTAAGAACAATCTGTGGAAAGCGCTTGTGTCGGTGCATCTCTATGGACTACCTGTTAACAAGAATGTTCTGGGATAAATTCGAACCTAGCCTTTCTTCCAGGAAGCAATATTCCAGACCTGTCTTGAATTTGTGTTCACCTGTTTGACCACGGACACTACTGAGGTCCCAACCTGAGTAATAATGAGGTAGGCCTCTGAGAGGACGTGGTCATTATATCTGATGGTGTGACGATAAAAGAAGTGCTACATAGACGTCCAAGTTTTCGAAATGTTTAGCTACGTTTCCTAGGCGCTCAAGACTTGTTGTTGCTCCACAAAGAAGACGTTTCATTGGCTGATGGCTATTTACAGGGAGGCATCCGTCAAGTGGGAACGACATGTAGCTTTCTATCATTTCACTACTCTCTAGTAGCTTGTTTCAATTACCTGCAAATGTCGTGGACAACGCACAATGGACGATATGAACTCGTCTAGGGCTGGTGCCTTCTGCGGAACACTAGATATGATAGTGACTTCAATGATCCTTCCATGGTGAAGATCCGCAAATTTAACCACTCGTTGTGATGACTGCAGGGTGACAAATTTCAGGTAAGCATACATTTGGTTTGCCTCAAATCCTGATGTATGATTTACTGGAGATTAGCAAATTCGCCCACCATTGCACCGAAAGAACGCAATGCACTCCCTCAACTTGACCACCTCAAAGACCAATTATTTGGTAGCGTAATGTGTGCATAATTCCAACACACTTGACCACTACCAATTAGGGCAAACTATTAATCAACCCTAGAAACACTTTTATTGCCATAGATGCAAGCCCCTCATCCCACTTCCATCAGCACGTACGATAGATGTAGAGCCTACGGTGCACGATATTTGGGTCGAAGTTTCGAGGTGTCTTTTCCCCTAAATTATCTCATATTTCCTTTTAATGGTGCCTTTTTTCCCTTTGAAATGCGTCACGAGGCAGATGAATTCGTAGGTACCAATTTCACTCATGTCATCAAAACTGGCCGATTGATGTAGATACTGCTGAATGGTTTGGCAGTCCTCCGCGGTAGTAAATACCCAAAGTCCATTTAAGCCTGGAGCCATTTATCAAGGACCATTCTCAGGTTCATTTTGTATGTTCCACTAACTTTAGCCGGATGTGGAGGGACGAGCACGTGCTACATTGGAGGCACCAGCAAGCAGACCCCATCCTAGTGGACAACAGTCTTGCCTTCTGTGACTGAATACAAAACCCTAATGCCACTGAAGATGAGCCTCTACTGCAAATGGTCAACTATTTGTTCCTTGTGGTCAGCAAGATGATCATTAACAACTGAAGCAACATCAGGCTTAAAGGCGGTCGGTAAAGCTCTTTATGCAGCTGTCTTTGATACCTATGTGAATGTGTGATCCACTTGAATAGACGATAGTTCCTCCACGTCCCTGCCGTGCGAACAAGTGCAATGTAATAAGTTAGCAGTATGTTTAACTCTTTATTCTGTTAACAGGGGCTGCTTAGGTGGCATACTATTGTACATTTAGTTAGGGAAGGTGCTCTCCAGCCATGTCAGCAGACTTAAGCCCTACCGTATGTCATCAATAAAAACTGAGGAAGCTGCAGTGACACAGAACAACATATAGGCAGATGACTCTTTAGCTAAGAGAATTGGTTGCAGACTGGTGAGGATGAGTGGATATGATGCGAAGCATTTAGCTCCGTGAGACTACTTTAAATCTTGTCGCCTATCTAAGCAGTCCTGTGTTTTTGCTATTATTCAGCCAAGTGGCGATTGGCATCCGAAATTCCCTTCTCCTAAAGCATGCACCAGATCTGGTTCTGAGTGTGGTTCTCATTTCAAGCATTTTGAGATGAATGCAATGGCCAATACATTACACGTCACAAGTAGATCATAGCCGCGGTAGAGATAGTAGAAGCAGGGAGATGCATCAGTGGTCTATCGAATGACGCATCAAATGGCTTACCACATGCAAGAAGATGAATTGACTGGCATCGGTGCTTTGTAAGTGGTTTCTCAACAGCCGACTACGCTGTGATAGCCGAGACAGGAAAATGAACATGGGGTGGTCGGTGATGCCACTGAAGTAATAAAAAGAACAGAGAATAGAACAGAGGAATTGCATGAGGTTGAAGTTCGTGATTAACTATGCAGACGATTCAGTCTCCGCAGGTTGTACTTCCTATCTACAGCACGTCGTTCAGTGAATGCTAGTAACCTCTTAGTATTTTTGTAGGCTGGTCGTATGTGTTCTTCCACATCATGCTAGCACTTTATAAATATGTACCTCGTTGTTGAAAAAAGACGGTAGGGTTGAATAAGGCCGAAGCGCATGATAAAAAGACTTGATTTCTTTGGCTGAATACCACAGAAGGCGGCCTTCTGCCGTGAATGCCTGTATTTTTACGAAGGTTTAGAAAAGGATAAGCATTAAAATGGCTTCGTCAACAATTATTCTGTGAGTGAAACTATTTTTATGTGATCATGAGAGGTGAGATCCCCCTTCTCCTCTGTTTTATCAGAGTAGCTGCTCCCACGAAACGATAGTGCTAGACGGAACACGGTCAGTATGAAATATCTGCCAGTTCATAAATGAGGTCTCCTCTAATGCTGTTTGTTATACGGGAAACACAGTGCCCTAAATTCCAATCTTCTGCTCTTGCTGCTAACTCCCCTCATCATCTTTGCGCGTAATATTTTCCACCATTGTGTCAAATAACGTCCATGAGGACCTGCAACGACTTTCAGAGTTTTGACAGTGCCTAATCATGTGGACTATCCAACCTTGCGACGTGGTTCCCCTAAGGTGCTCTTCTACAAGGTAGTAACAATTCTCCTTCCAAATAATAACTCCTTCTTATTTGCAGTAAAGATTCTCAAGTCTTTATAACTGCCATTTTTGCTAATTAACATTACCAAGTTGGTTTGCAAAGTTGTTTGTAAAAACTGAACCTATAATAAAGAGGCTGGAAGGTTAGAGATGAGGCCGGGATTGCTTGCCACAAGGACGGGTGTATAAACTTAAGTGAGTGAAGCGTTCGCATAGCTGCAGTGGCCACTTTTCCCCGTCAGTTACCGTAACTTGGGCAGTTCTGTCAAACAAGCACTGAAGAGTTGGGCTAGACAGCTGTCAAAATTTTAATGTGACTAAAGGGGCAAATGACCCCAGTAACGGTAATGTTTCTCCTCAATTCCATCAAAAATTTGAACCTTTACTTTTTTACACCTCCCTTGCTTATAAACGGTGATGGAAAAGAGGCTTACTGATCGGGTGCGGCTCAAGATTGGCTGATGCTCCACATTAGCTTGTGGCTTTTCGCAGAAAAGTATGTACCAAGTTCAGGCTACACAGTGTAGCTTTACAGAGTTTTTAGCCGGTATCTCTTCCTTCTTGTCGGTATGTGACTACCGCACTGATTTTCCAGGAGCTTGTTAGGGCTACTATCAGCCAGGAGAAATTTGAGATGGTAGCATTTGTTTGCTCAATCTACATCTCTTTGCAGAGGTAGCATAGACAGCCACATAGTGAACGGTTGAACTCATCCACGTCTGGTGATGGCAACGTCAGCACCCACAGTAGATGCCTGAAGGCATTATTTTTGCTAAATCAAAGGTACAGTCCCAGAAACTGCACTCAAGAAACATTAAATTGCCAAGTTTATGCTTGAAGCAAGTTTTACCGTGATTCATTTAAGCAACAGCCATTGATCAGTAGATTTTGTCAAAGGGATGATAATGGATACGTGGTCTTAAAAACTTCCATGGACCTATCTCTGACAGGTGACATTACATGATCAGACTTCTGATATTTGCTAGAGTGAAACAAACAGTTAACATTTTCCATAGAATCCCCCCAACCCTTCAATTTTTGAGCGCTGTCCCCACCATCCGCACCAGGCATGGGATTCGCACGCGATCGGCAACATTTCTGAATTAGGAAGGGGAGAAAGAGCAGGCCGTCATGCATGGCCTCCGCAAATCGCAAGAAGTCTGGCTAGAAAGCAGAGTCTTTTAATAAAAAATAGGATTTAGAATAGTTTCGTGGGAATATGGATTTGCGTCTGCCTTGCATTACTGCTTTGTCTGTACCTCAGTCCTATTCAACCACCTCTACCTGGGTTCCATTCAGCCAGTAGGGTAGTAAAGGTACTTCCTTAAACACTCTTAACTACTTGCTACTTAAAATGAGATAGAAACTTGACTAAGCGCTTTAAGAAAACACTGTACATAATGAAGGATTAGCCAAAGCAACCCTTAATTGTCTTTCGAGAGCAATTATCAACGTTTATGTGAGCATAAAAGAGAGAGGGGTGCCTGGATTTTTGCCAAAATATGGGGCACAACGTTGTGTCCTCTCAGATTACCCACTTATATTCCACAGGTGATTGTTACAACCATCCCTTCCTTCCTACCCTGGCGCCATATCCATACTCTCTAGCTGTCCAGCTGTTTTGTTTGTCCTCAGAAGGATTTTCTTTGTAGAGGTCCTATTTTCATCAGTAGCGTTTTGTGTGGCTCAGTGTGATGTGGCAGTGGGTATTTTGGGTACAATACGCGAATTTGCAGCAATGCAAATAATGTTGGCCAAACGTTGGTGGAAGTGCAACAATACAAATAGGAGGGGGAAAACACCCAGACTTGAGGTAATTCGGCAATGAATTTTCGAGGTTACCCTAAGATT